GGTGACGTGCTGGCCCGCGGCTGCCAACGCTTTCCAGTGCTACTCATTGAAGAGAAGAACAGAATTGTATCTATGAGAACGAAACTTGTTATTTCCTTTCAGAGCATATCTTCATTATTTAACTGACATATGCATGAGATCACTACTAATAATTATGACTATCCATTTAGATAGGTCCATGCATTGGGGACACCGTTAGGTAGCCGCTAAAGTCGAAACGTCGACCAAAAAGCGAAATATATACATACACGCATGCTTAGTTATGGGTGTTAATACGGGTGTTAGAGGAATCATTACGATGGAAGCGAGAAAAGCGACCTACAGCGAAAACTTTACTCAAGTGTTTCTACTAATTACTGCTATCAATACCCATGTGTATATAGAGTTTCGTAAAGAACTTTTTCTTCGATTGCTGAAAAGTAAGAGAAGTTGAACCTAATTACCTTTTGAACATTTTCTGTACTTATGACGGCGTTCCATGTCTGGTTAACTCCCACGCAACATTTTACTACTTTGCTTGTCGATACCCAGTTTCCAGTAAGAATAAATTCAAAAAATAACCCCACAGATCCAACAAAGAACAGAGTCTCTCATTTAGTGTTCTTGAAGTCAATCTACGTTTGCTCCAATAATAACTAATTTTACGAGACACAAGTGGTATTAAACTATATCAAGTTGATCCAATTTATGTTAATTCTATTAATGTTATGTTTATGTTAATTAAGTTAACATATTCGTCCTTTAAATCAGCTTAATATCTAATGCAGCTCCCAGCGGATGCTGCAGTATATTAATCTTATTTTTTTAAACAGAGAATGCACGGAGGATTGACTACTCTTTGCAAGTCGTTTGCCACCGTAATTCTAGTAAACAAAATCAAACAAAACATTAATAAAACGATGACCAATGACTGGATGCCTAAATGCTTGATTTCTAATCTTCGCTGTGAAAGGTCCCTCATTAAACATATATTCAATATTGTAATGAAGCTGGATCACAATAAATATACTTATAAAACGAGCTGCAGTTATCCATTAATACTGTAGATTAAAATAATGTGAGACCGACAGCGTTAATTTATCTCTTTAAATATAGATTTTCCAACTGACTGGACTACCTACTAAAGTTCATTTCACTCATACATAGTTGAATAGTTGAATGGTGAATAGATTTGAACTGAATGAAGTAGACTAATATCAATTATTTCGGGACTATTCATTTTCGCTTCCTTCATTAACTTGATTGACAATTTTGCCTATAAGAATGTTTCACAGATTAATGTCGTGTAAGTGCAATGCGTTGCTGTCCAACCTTCAATAGCCTTGATATACCAGATTTGTAATAAAAAAATTGTACAATACCCGTGTTATGACACATTACAACTCTCTTCTCCTCTGTTTCTAGATTTCAATGTTTGGGTTAACAACAACTATTTATTTACAATGCAGACTATTTTAATACAAGCCTTTATGAGTGGTAACATGAACTGGATGTCCTGGAGTTAAGTTTTAGATAGAGGTCTCTTTCGTGAGAGACGTGCGAGTGGAAATGGAGTTGTCAAAGAAGACAGAAGTTAGATTGAGATTATTAATGGACGCGTCAACGAGCGAACGGCTGTTTTGTGAGTGATAAGCTAGGCGCCACATATCATGAATGAAAATGTAACTAAAGAAGCCCATTCACTCTCTGAAAAGGTAACAGTGTTATCCGTTTACTCGTGTCGTGTTCAACCGTACCCCGAAGGTGCCCGCAGAGGCCCAGTTTTGCCAGTGTTCATTACTCTTCCCAAATCACTCATAACTCGCAATTGTTCGGGTGGCGACCGCTTTGATTGAGAGAGGGCGCGTCGTAGTCTGTCCTGATGGGAATCCGTTCTCGAAGCATGTTTACGCACATCTTTCTTCAGTATAGGGCAACAACGATCACGTATTCTAAAGAAGATCAGAAATCACTTCGTTCAATCCGTTCGTGACAGATTAATCCGGCGGATTCTAGCTTCAGACGCTCGTGTTTGATCGCACTGACAGAAAACGGAACTGTCGAAACTGTCACATATCGCGAGCGTGTGTATGAGTTTCGTAAGTCAGCGACGTAATCTGACCGCGGAGAGGGCACAGGTAGAACAGAATGCCTCCGCGATAGGCAGGCGGGCGGATCAGCCGGGAGAGGACCGGGAGGCAGGGGCGCTGAACGTGCATCCCGACGGCCGTTTTCGTGAGTCGTGGCGGGGGCGGGGCGGG